GAGACTGCAGTCGTGCCAATGCAGGCACTCATTGAGTCGGTCTCTCATCTCATTGTTTACTTCACAGTCAAAGCATTCACTCATTCATTGGCTATTCATTTGTTGTTTACTATTAAGTTAACTATAGTTATGTTATAATCATTTTATGATTATTATACCAATCAATTGATTGCTGTTTTAATTAGCATTTCATTCATGCATTTGTTGTTAATTGAATTAAACATGAAATCAAAATATTTGTCGAAATAATTAATTTAAATATAAAATAAATTAAAATCAAAATGAGTTGAAAATGAAGTGATTGTTAAATGAATGGATTGATTGATAGACTGGATGTTTGGCGCAAATTGTAATCAAAATTGGCTCTCATTTGTCCATTCATTTCACCGATTGTTATGTTTTCTGTGTCTGACATCAAAGTCTGCATCTCTTCCATAGAGTTCTCGCTGTTTTTCCGTCAGAGTTGTCCTCTTTGTCCAAATTGTGGTCAACTCTTAGATAATAATCCTTTTAGTGAAGGTTTCTATCAATGCATTTAATACTCCAATCATTACTACTATTGCTATAAATTATTTGCTATATTATAATGTAATTATTGTCTATTTTTGCAGTAAAATTCTCATCACTGGTAGTACTTCTTGGCGTCGGATCTCTTATTGTCTATAAATTAATGGCAGATAAGAAGAAGAGAAAGAAAAGACTTCCGTTTGGTTTTGCAAAAGCAATAAATTATAAAAAATCACAAAACGTTGAGTTTTACGAAAATGTCAACAATTCATCAGACATTTCAGACGCAGACCTCAAATACAAAATCTTAACGTCGACTCCATTTGTGAATTGGGGCCCAAATGTTGGATACACGCCATCCATCTCTTCGGACACTTCCGATTTGCGGTTGAATTTGACGGATAATAGCTGTGAACAATCTATTGGCACCAATACTGTCGCCAAATTAGATCTGCTTTTGGGTCAAATCGAAGACATAAAGCGTTCAGTTTATGAAATTGACGAACAGATCTTTGATGTGAGAGAATCTAATGTTAAATTTGAGCCAAAAATGTTTAGTTTAGTGCCAGATATGAGCTCAAGTCTGACCACTGAATCTGATTTAAACGAAAAATTTAATTTCAATATAACTGAACCGCAAACTCCTACTCTTGAATGGGATTTAACTGATTTGAATGTCATTAATGAACACAACAATAGCCTAATTAGCGAAAAACAATTGATTTTCTCATTAAATTCGTCAAATTATTTAAACAATCAATCATTAAATCTCAAAACAATAGATAATATAAATAATGAATCGATTAAATTAAATAACACTGATCTGCAAACCACTCAAGTATTATCATCCCCTGAAGACTTGTCTCCGCACGCATTGTCTTCTTCAACCTCAGGTGAATTCTCGATCACATCGTCATCACAACCACATCCACGACAAGAGCCTAAAGACAATAATCACTAACGTTAAGTTTCCTACTATTCGCTGCGGTTCTTTAACCCAGAAAACCTACTGAATTAGCTATAGGATTAGTTCTTGAGCTTTGCTCTAAGGCGAATAAAGCTTCTAATTGCGGAATAAACGTTACATATTATTATTTTTGTTGATATCTATATATAATCCATATTTACTCACAATTACTGTATATTTTATTCATTAATAATTCATTTATCGTAACGTATTTTGAGAACAAATAAATATATTTTAATTTTACCTCAATTTAAATAAATCTAAAATTTAAATGTTATTCCACTTTAATATACTGTACAGTATATAATAGGATATACTGTTTATACTAGTATAGTTGATGTATTAATTAGTTGAGCGCATAATTATTGTCGTTTACAGAGAATAATATAAAATGATCAAGAATTAAATGAAGGTATTAGTATCGTAGTCCTGTACTGTCAGTCGATTCATCAGTTTTCACATTCATATATTTGAAGGGAATTTCCTATATTTATGGGGAATTTCCTCAAAAACGTATCGAACCCTAAGTTTAGTACAAAACAATGCAAAACGACTTTTTGAATGAACGGCTGATGCAATCAAACATTGATTTTACGTTACAATTATTGAATGAAACACTTTATTGGCGATACTTTATTTAATCACAAGAGTTGTTACAAGAGTTGTCGCAATCGATGGACAGTTCAAAAGTCGCTAAAAGTGGGGCCAAAGAGACGGCTGAAGAGATGGCCGACAAAGCGTTATTGAAAGCCCAACGAAAGGCTCAATTCGTATGTGTTTTGCAATTAATATTGATTTGATTGGAAATGTTTGACAACTCTTTGTTTGACAGGAATTGCAAATGAAAGACAAACTGAAGACTACATCCAAAGACATGGACACAAAGAGTAAATCGGAATTAAAAGCCGAACGAAGAGCTAAACAGGAAATGCAAAGAATGGCGAAGCAATCAAATGATCCAAAAAGTGGTCAAAAAGAGAACCTAAATATCAATAAGAATTTGACCGAAAATAATGGCAAACAATCGGTTAAATCAGTGGAAAGTGATGTTAAAAATGATAATAAAAACACTGAAACTCTTAAACCGAAAGACATGAATGCCGTGGAGTCGAGAGTAACGGAAGCGAAGAAAGTGAGTTCACAAGCGGTGACCACTTCCTCGACGGCCAACACATCGCTAGTAAAAAGGGGTCAAATCTTTGCACACATCCCGAAGCGAATCAAAGATCTGAATCAATTGAGTGATGGATTCAATGCGAAGGATTCGTTAATACATCCGATGGTTATTCAGACGGGATTTCAAATGAATAAAAACCTGATTGATCGAAGACTATACGACTCCTCCATCGAAGGAATTGACCCGAGATTTGGAGTCTTTGATCGATAATTATGTGAAATTTTTGGCCAAATGTCGTCCGCTGTCTATAAGTATGACAAATGCCGTGAAGTTTCTGAAACTGACGTTTTCCCGAATTCCGGCCCAAACTAACGACTCGACCGCCAAAACACAGTTATGTGAAGCCATCGATGACTTCATTTACGATGAAGTGATTTGCGCTCAAAGAGGTATCGCTGAGTTTGCCATAACTAAAGTGCACGACAACGATGTGATCCTGACGTTCGGGTGCTCTTTAATTGTCAAACATGTCATCTATAATGCCATCAAAAAAGGCAAACAATTTCGTGTAGTTGTTGTCGACTCGAGGCCCAGATTTGATGGCAAAGAAATGCTGAAATTTCTACTCAAACACAATATTCCCGTTATTTATATCTACATAAATGCCATTTCATATGTGATGAAAGAAGTGACTAAAGTATTATTGGGCGCGCATTCACTTCTGGCCAACGGCTATGTCATGTCACACATCGGCAGCTCTCAGATAGCATTGGTTGCCCAGGCATTCAACGTTCCCGTTCTGGTCTGCTGTGAGACATACAAGTTCTCTGAACGCGTCCACACCGACAGCTTTGTTCACAACGAAATCGGTATTTACTCCGCAATTGTATTCATATTTTGTGTTCAATACTAACCAACTGTTTATAATTTTGCATTTTTTAGGCGATTCGACTGATTTGTTGAATTCACTCTCAAACAAGTCTCACATCGATGTCAACAATAAAGACCTGAATTTTTTGGATCTTCTCTATGACGTGACTCCACACGAATTAGTTTCGGTTGTCATCACCGAAAAGGGTGTCCTTCCGTGCACTTCAGCGCCAGCAGTGCTCAGAGTTAGGGAAACCAAATAGTTTTTATCCTCATTTTGTTCAATAAAAAACTTATTTCAAATTAAATATGTGTTCATTAGATGTGTTAGAATGCAATTAACATTATTTTTATTACAAAACAAATATACAAAACAATGAATTTCCATAAATTACCGGTATTATTGTTAATACAATATTTTAAGTATTTTCCTAAATATGTGTTCATTAGATGTGTTAGAATGCAATTAACATTATTTTTATTACAAAACAAATATACAAAACAATGAATTTCCATAAATTACCGGTATTATTGTTAATACAATATTTTAAGTATTTTCCAATTGTTGTTAAATCAATTGGAAAAAGTAAAATGTTTGTAAAAAATTCATTTTTAAAGCAAACACTAGTGCTTTAGTTGACAATAAATAGTTACAGTAAATGAGACACATTTAGGTGTAAATTGATTAGAATTATTGCATATCTAATGGCCATTGAATTCATAAATCCGTTAATAAGAGGTACTGTCTTATAGAAGTCGGTATTTGTATTTGTTTGACAACAGTGTCGGCTCTTCTCTCNTTGACAATAAATAGTTACAGTAAATGAGACACATTTAGGTGTAAATTGATTAGAATTATTGCATATCTAATGGCCATTGAATTCATAAATCCGTTAATAAGAGGTACTGTCTTATAGAAGTCGGTATTTGTATTTGTTTGACAACAGTGTCGGCTCTTCTCTCCAACCAATTCCTGAGTCTAACTCTACACAAGTGTTTGAGTCGAGGGAAGCAATTGTGTTGCTCTACAATCAAGTGATTGATTTCCTCATCTCTGAAATTGTTGACAACAATCGCGTCGTTTAGTGAGAGGTTTGTATTGAGATTAGTGTCGGCTCCGCTCGCGATCATCATTTTGATGAGATCTGTCTTTCCCTCCTTCGCTAACCGCGAGATAGGAGTCAAACCCATTTGATTGGGTGTATTCACGTGAGCGCCCGCTCTCACCAACATCTCAGTGATGCGATCCTGACGTCTGGTTATGGCTAAGTGTAGCGCACTTTCGCCACATATGGCGGAGTCGTATTCGTTGACATTGAGGTCGCAGTTGTGGTCAATTAGATACCGGACAGTGTCCTGACCATCGAGTGTGTGTTCACTGCTTCGTCTGATTGTCGTAATCAATGGATTGAGTCCACAGTTGTTCGGGTTATTAGGGTTGGCGCCCGCCTGCAGAAGAATATTGACGATATCAGCGTTTATAGTGAGTCCACTGTTGATGGCGTGAAGTAGTGGTGTATTTCCGGAGTTGTCTTGAGTGTTGACATCTGCGCCCTGGAGTACCAAATACTCGACGATATCAAACTGATTGCTAACAATGGCTAATACTAATGGAGTTCTTCCATCGAGATCTTTCTTCTCTAAATCACTGCCCGATTCTACCAAAACACGAACCAATTCTGTGTAACAATTGATTCATTGAAATGATTGAAAATGTGTCAAATGAGGTGACAGTAAGTGATATACCGAGTGATGGCTGTTGTGCTGCCAAATGAAGAGGAATGTGTCCATAATTGGTGGCCATATTAATGGCCGCTCTGTTGGCGACCAAAAGTTTGGCGATTTCTATAAAGAGATGATTGCATGCGATGTGAAGGGCAGACAAGCCGTGAGCGTCGGTCTGATTGGCTGAACAGCCGTATCGGAGCAGGAGTTGGACGAGATCTAAGTGACCCGTTCGGGCGCAAAGACATAGGGCTGGCGTCTGATTGGTTCCCGAGAAGAAACGAGTGTCGGAGTCGACTCCAGACTTAAGGAGCGTCTCCACAGTCGAGCTGTCATTGTATTGAATGGCAACCAATAGTTGGCTGTGAAGAGTCCAGATCTGCATCACTGATGATATCGGATGTCTAACTCGCTATCGATTTCATCACAACATTCACCACAAGAGGTGACCAAAGAGTGAGTGAGTGGTGAGCACTGAGTGACTCCACTCTACACACAATGCTATCAATCAATAAAAACTTATCGTAAGAATAGTTATAATGAATACAAGAATACAAACAACGAAAACACAATATCACAAGAAATGCCTTCAAAAGCACTTCTTCTCTAGACTTTGGATTTAATATTAGTTACAATTAAAATATTTTATTAATTGATTTGACAGTCGATCGCGAGTCTAATCAAGTAATAAGTTTTGTTATATGAAATGCAAATCCAGTTTCACTTCATTGAAAGTGATGTTCACTTTATTATTGCCTTCACTTTGAGTGTGAGTCTAGTCTTCACATCAACTCATATTAATAATGGCCTGTATTTCGAGTTATAGTAATACCGGTCCTCTTCAAGGATACCAAACATTACCATAAATATTATCCCAAATCACAAAGAGAGAGAGAGAGAGAGA